TACAAACAACTCAAAAAATAAATAGATGTAGAAAGATAATAATCGATATAAATAACTACAAAATTGGAATTTTAAGAAAATAAAACAATTACAAAGTATAAAATATATTAAGCAGTCACTATTTTTTGTAAAATATTTTCACCGCGCCTGCGCTCTAATGTTGTCAGTCCCGTGCGTGGGCGCACGTGGTACGTCCTCTGCGATTGCGAACAAAATCACTTTGTGCAGTCGAGGTATTCTGCAGTCGCATGATCGCAAACTATGCAGCTGTACTTTCAAACAGACACTTACGGCTGAAATGAGTCGCATCTCACAACGGGTAGCCGCCCGATCTGACGGTATTAACACCGAAAAACGATCACAATATTTATTATATTCAGTGAACTTCATTGAGAGGCAAATTGAGAGATCTTATTAAAACTCAGTCGAAGCAGGTGCGGTAAAACAGAAAGACGCCTTCTTCCTCACCCCATATTGAAGAGGGAATAGACATAAACTTATCGGTTCCTACTTAACTTACTCATACTACATTAACAAACAGTGTTAGACTAAAAATCGTGAACAACACATTGAGAGAATTGGTAAGAAGATGAACATGAAAGTTATAGCAAAAGAGCACATCGATTCATGAGAGCGAAACGAAAGCAAATTAGCATCGCAGACAACATTCACTCATTCTCTCAGAATATCTCGCACTACAGACATGTAGAGCAGAAGCATTAATCTCGTTTCCCAGCGATGCTAGCTACTATAAGTTTATATACGTCGAAATCTATCACTTAGCTGGTTTGGTCAGTTGTCCACCGAGAAGTGTGGGCAAAATACATGACATACGGAGTCTCTGACTAAATTTAGCATATTCGAATGAAGGAACCACTTACTAACAAACAGAACAAGTTGAAAAAAAATCAAAAATCAAATATTGTGGATTTAGATGGGATCATGCAATCGAGTACTAGAAGCTAGATACTAGAAAATAAGTGACTGGTTGTTTTTCATCTCTTTGATTCTGCCTCATTACTCAGAGTAATCGTAAGAGGTTCAGTATGAACTCCGAGATCCTGGTGCGGAAATCGTTCAGCGATTCTCTTTTCCCTGAACCTTCACAGAGTTGACTAAATGGAAAAGAGAACATGACACAACGGTCCCAAAGCTGTCGCGAGCGATACCTCTCCAATATCTTCACCTCATCGTCCATACGTGTATCACAAACATAGACGAATACTCGCCAAACAATCAGTGCTGTATATATTTCAAAATATAGAAGAGCGAACTGAAAAGAACGTAGAAAAGCCCATCAGAACAAGTTTGATCGTATAACATTCGCTGACTAAGAATATCTCTGTTCCGTTGAGGAAAGAGTATGAAAATCAGCGCTATAGGATGCGAGTGCATATAAAAAATAAGTTTTTTCCCCAGTCAATGTATTCGGGAGCCTGGTCTATCGTAGTATCGCACCCTTTACAAGCATCGTTTAGGCAGCGTTCATACTTCGCGACAGCAGCGGCGATCGCGGCGACCTCGGCGATCGCCGCGATCGTCGGTACGTGGCAGAGCGCGCCCCAACGCTATTATGGACTGCTCGCTTGATAAATAAGGAAATCCAACTTGTGAGACCTTCTTTTCTCTTAATAATGGCTACTAACTGATAACTTACGACTTTCTATACATAAGCGGATCTGGAATATGAGGTAAGGAGGTTTCACTTCTTTTTAGGTCGGGATGAGGCCAACTCCATTTCCTGGGTGAGCTTCTTTTTGTTTCTTTTGTTTTTATTGTTTCAATTTATGCAAGCGCCTTAAAAGTTCCTATCGTCTGAACTGTTCCAACTTCCAAAACATTTATAGTTTACAAGTCGAGTTCAAACAACGAAGAAAAAAAAGAAACAGAAAGAAACTCACCTAGGAACCAAAACACTAATCATTTTACGCAACATCAACAGGTGAAAACATTAACTCATGTGTA